CACGCATGCATATAAAACGCTAACAATAACTTGAATTAAACAGGTGCAGCTGATAATATGAGCAGTGACTGTATTGTGCTATTACTTTAGCTTAAAAATGTTTTCCATTAGTAAATAAAGATGATCCTATGCAGTTACAAATTACACAAAATGTTGTATAATGTGCAAAATGTACATGTTGAATTGCCATGGAAACCTAAATGTATTCAGTTCATGGTGCAGAAATACCAAATGTGCTTCAGGGATTTGTCCTAATTTGCTTTAAAGTTCTTTTTATACTGCTGATATTAAAAAAGTGAAAGAAGAGAGAAAGAAGGAAAACTGATTAGACTGTTGGTTCTGCAGATAATAGTAGATAAAAGCATCAAATCATTCATGTTTAGGTCGAGTGGGCTAAACATGAATGATTAAATGAGACAATCGAAAGTGTTCAAAAGTGAGTAATTGAGTTCTGTTGGTTTTGCTCCACAAATTACACATTAGTTTTGTTTTTTCAAGAAGCTAAACCATGCATATGCATCGCTGTTCAGTCTGCTTTTCAGCTCTTCTGAAGAACAAAATGTCATGGCGCCTCACCAATGAAACATACAGCTTGCAAATTTCTTTTGAAGTGCTGAGTTTGATGTATTTTAGGTATTTCTTGCAGTACACACCACAGCCAGTCGTAGAAATCATGCATGTTGTGTTTTCTGTTCTGAACATTTGAGAACGTGAATTATAATCATAGTCAAAAATTAACAGTAAATAATAAGAAAAATTGCAACGGGAGATTAAACAGAGATAATAAGAGTTAGAAAATGCTGAAGAGAGACCAATGTGACAGGAAGTGTATTTTAAGTCTTTTCTGTGTTAACCAATCAGACGCATTTTATGGTCTAACCCAGTGTGCTCATTTCCCCTTCGTAACTTACTGAAAAACCCCAAAGCGCATTCTCAAGATGGTCGTCTTATGGATTACATTGCTTTTTCTTCATCAAGGAAGTAAGGGGGATTTGTTTCTGTTTGTTTTTGTTTTATCTGACCATCTGACCAAACTCAACGTATTATTTATGTGGAATAGATTCATATATAGATAGACATAGAGATAATAAGAGAGATAATAACATAAAAACTGAACGTTTTCTTTTACCGCAGATTCTCTGGTTCCAGTGAAACCAGTCCATGTTGGTGAAACAGCAACATTAACATGTGTTTTACCAAATGAAGAGCTCGGCAGCAGAAAGGTTCAGTGGTACAAGCAGAGAGTCGGGGATACTCTTAAATTATTAGTGTCACTTTCTGGAAAACCTTCTTCAGAGTTTTTTCAGTCAAGATTTTCTGCACATAACAGTAAAGATTTTAGCAACCTGACCATTTGGAATGTAGCCCAAGAGGATGAGGGAATGTATCACTGTGGAATAGACACCTGGATTAAACTTGAATGGAGTGGGACATATTTGTTAGTAAAAGGTAATGAACTGACCAACTTTTACAAAAT